AATTATATCATTTAAGCAATTAGCCTCATGGTATTCATGCTTTGGATATGGCAACACAAACATTCGATACAAGATGCTAAGACATAAAAGCTCACCTAGTACTCCAAGCCAAAAAAGGGCTAAGAGTTAGAAAAATATGCATGTTCCTAATTAAATGCAACATGACTAAATACAACGCACACATTATGTATTTTTATAGGCTCGGTTATGAGCACGACATATTATTTCATCCAAGACATTTGTAGACATCCCATTTTTGACCGTCCTCAAGACTTGGATGTTCTTGAAAGTACATCCGATGATGAGTTTGGTTTCTCGTCGAGCGCTCGAAGTCTGCGGCAAAACGCCACAGGTTTGAGTTTTCCAAACCCTGCATCCATTCTGTCTTATCTTTGGACCATGTTTAGGTCATTTTAGCATGTTGTAGTTCATGGCCTGCTGGCTATCCTTGGGCACTGTTGGCCATGTCTCTTGGCCTGTCGGCCATTGATGTGCCCTGCCGGCCATCAATGAGCCCCTGCCGGCCACTAGTGTATCAGTAGATATTTTCTGATATTTTATGCCAGTTGTTTGCACAGATTGAGCCATCTACTTGCACGAGTATGGCTGGATCTCTTTGAGGGGATTTTGCATTCTCTATATATAGAAACCCCCTCTTGCATGTGGAGGGGTGAGAAAAATTTTGAAGACAAAAAATTCCTCTTTCTCTCTCTCTAAAATTCTCTCTCTCTTGGTATTTTGTGCCTTAAAGCCTAAATTCTCTACAAATTCTCTACACTCTTTCATGCAAACCCTTGATCAAACTTGATCACCATTGAGTTGTGGCTACTTGAGGCCCTCTTTGAGCTCTAGAAGAAGATATTGGCTTGGTTTGGTTTGATTTTGGTATCTAAATTGCATCATGTCTTCAAGAGGTATAACACTTGTATTTTAAGCTTAATTTAAATACTTGTTTCGCCATCTTTACATACTGTTTTGAGGCTAGTTTTAACCTCTAAAAATCTTTGTTTTCATGGTCTAAAATGGTGGTTTGAGGTTTGATTGGAGTTAGGGGTGGTCCACCCTTCTTGTAGCTTGCTTGCTAAGTTGTTGTGCTATCTTTCAAAGTTTTTTTTAAATCAAATTTTTGGCCTTTCTAACCACTAAAAATTAGAGTTATTTTAGTGGCAAACTCTATTTTGAAGTGCAAAAGTGGAGGGGTTAGCCTCCCCTCCTTGTGTCTTGTTTGCATGTGTAGATAGCTTAACATGTAACCATGTTTTTGTAGCATTTTGTGACTTGATCTCAGCATGTTTTTGCTACTATTTTGACTTGTTTTGCCTCTCTTTTGGGCTGGTTAAGTCACTTGAGGCTTGCCTTGTATACTTGTAGTGCAATTGTGCTTAATAGTTTAGTTTGTGCTATGTGTTAGCCTCTTATTGTAGGCTTTTTTAGCTTACTTCAAGCATGTTTTAGGACTCCTTCTAAGCTACTTTAGGACTATTATGAAGTGTTTGTACCTTGTGAGCTTTGTATTGCATGTCTATAGTGTAGTGATCTTCACTAGTTTGGTGTTTTTGGCTTTTAAACATGATTTGCATGAGTTGCATGCATGGTGTAATGTCATTTTGCATGTAATTTCAGCACATACAATCTCTGCAACCTCCCTTATTTCATCACTTTTTTCATTTGTTTTGAGGGTTGGTTAGCCTTAGGGTTGTGTTTAAGCTTGAGATTGAGACTTGTGCTTAATGGTTTTAATCATCTTTTGAGGGTTTCTACTAACCAAAGGCATGATCTCTCTTTTTCCTTAAGTCATCCCTTGGTTGACACCTCTCTCATTAGAGGACTCTCACCTTGGACTAAATTGACTAAAGAATGAGTTGGTAATTAAAATGAGTAAACAAAATTGATAAGTAAAACTTGAGCAAAATAAGCATGTTGTGTTGCATTGCATGTGTTCAATCGAACGTTATATTGAACACAAGGAAGATTTGAGCATTTCATACTTAAAGTGATGAAATGAGCCAATCTCCTTTGTCTCCATCATCCTTGATCATGCATGATATGGGGTGGTCTTGTTAGTCATATTTGTGCATTTATTGAAATTGTACAACTTGGATCTTTGGCCATCATGCAATAAAATTAATTGATTGGTGGTTTTGGATCCAAGAATGCCATTCCTTTGATGTTTTGAGATGATAAGGAGGGGTACAATACAAACATACCCTTTGAAAACCCTCCATTTTCCTCTGTTTGTGCTCTGTTATAGTGTGGTGACTCAGAACACCAGTGGCCGGCAGTGGCTCACTCTTGACCGGCAAGGCACATTTTTGGCCGGCAGAAGGCCAGAAGCAATCAACCATGGCCGGCAGGCCACTGGTGTAACCCTCAGCATTGAATTGGCAAGGTGGAGCAGAAAGATTCTGAAGTGTGCTCAACCCTACAAACAGAGCCTCTCAAGAGCAAACCGAAGGGCTTTTCAGAACGAAACCCAAGTGCATGCATCCTCCACTTCCCAGTGCAGAGCTGAGGCAATGTAGTTTAGTGCTTTACATGCTTAGTTAATGCGCCTTTGCTTTAATTAACTAGTTTGCTAATTAGTTAAGTGTTGTAATAATTAGTAATTAGTTTGCTAGTTATTCATTTTATTTGTAATAATTAGTCTAATTAGTTTAATTAGATTAGTTTTAATTAGCTTAGATTAGCTTAGCTAAATTATTCATTCGGACCCTCCTTCGCGATGGCACAATGTTATAATAAGTGTGTGTGTGTGTGTATGTCTTCCAACCCCACGTTTTTCTCTCTTTTATTTAATCACTTTCGATGGTGCCTATCAAGCTACCCTGTCTTTCAGGTCTCAATGCTGCAACAGGGACTTTAGTAGATGTTCAGTTAGTACCACAATCTTTTAGGCTTGAAAGTAGTGGTTCAACCTTTTCGAGGCCATTACCAAGGCCAATGTCAACTTCTCCAGAGATAGGTACCTGGTTTTCGCAGTTGCTAGGGTCTTGCTGACATGGTACACTGCCTTCTACTCACCTCATTCTTCTTAGATTACCATTGCACTAACGGCATGGTCTGAAACTACGAGGTACAAAAATAATTCCTCTCCTAGTACCGGGTTCGACAACATTGGTGGGGTTGTTAAGTACCTCTTCAAGTCGGCCAAGGCGACTTTATATTCTTCTGTCCATAGAAAGTCTATGGCCTTCTTTAATAAACTAAAAAATTACTTACATTTATCCAAACTTCAGCAAATGAACCTATTCAAGGCCGCCACCCTTCCAGTCAAAATCTGGACTTGTTTGGCTGTTGTCAAGCTCTTCAAGTCAAGGATGGGCTTGATCTGATCTGCGCTTGCTCCAATACCCCTCATAGTGACTAAGTATCCCAAGAACTTACCGGATTCAACTCTAAATGCACACTTCGAGGCATTGAGTCAAAGCCGATATGACCTGAGGATGTCAAAGACCACCTTTAAGTCAACCAAATGGTTTCCAGGTTCCTTAGTTTTAACAACCATATTATCTATGTAAACCTCCACTGTCTTTTCAATCAGATGTTTGAACATCTTGGTGACCAATCTTTGGTAGGTCGCTCCTGCATTCTTCAACCAAAAAGGCATTACTTTATAATAATATAGTCCTTTAGGGATGATGAATGTCTTCTTCTCTTCGTTTGGGGCATACATTGCAATTTGGTGATAACCTCTGTATGTGTCTAGAACATCCTCTCACGCCCTGAAGTGGCATCTAATAGTTGATCAATCTTGGGCAGTGGAAAACTGTCCTTGGGGCAAGCCTTGTTCAAGCTTGTAAAGTCCATGTAGACCCTCTACTTCCCATTCTTCTTCTTCACCACTATTGTATTAGATAACCAGGTGGGATAATTTACCTCTCTAATGGCCTGTGCCTCTAGTAGCTTGTCTAATTCTTCCTCGATTGCTTGCACATGTATCAATTTCGTCCTTCTTGCTTGCTAAACGACAGGTTTTGTCAACCTGTCCACATTAAGTTTGCGACAAGTGACCTCGGGGTTGATCCCCAGCATCTCATAAGGTATCCAAGCAAACACCTTTATGTTTTCTCTCAAGAAAGCCTCTAGATCTTTTTCTTCTCCTGCTGCTAAACTAGAGCTGAGAATGAAGAATCGTTTATCATCTCCTTCCTGCACCAGAACCTTTTTCAATGGTTCTTCACTCTTCTTGGCAGGTTCTTTTCCGAAATCATCCAAGACCTCATGGTCTTCACTTTCAATCTTTGCACTCATTGCTTCATTTACATTATAGGTGTACTTTATTGCTGCCATAGAGAAATTTTTCACTTGTAGTTGGTCCCCCCCTTACTTCTTTTATCCCCCTAATCAGTTAGGAATCACAACAATTAGTGCAACGTTGAGAGAACAACCCTCATCACATGTAACCAAGGTCGTCCCAAAATGATATTGTACAGGGAAGAAGTATCTATCACAGCAAACTCTATTATTACCTTCTTACTCCTTGCACACACCTCCAAATTTGTGGCTTCTAGAGGCCATGTCGACGTCCCATTGAATTCAACCATATGGCTGTCAGATTTCTCTCAATCATTTGGGTGGAGGCCAAGCTCCTTGTAATATCTGACATATATAATGTCACAAAAGCTTCCTTGGTCAATCAGTATATGCTTTACCTTCTAATCTCCAATCTTCAGAGTTACCACCAGGGCATCATTGTGCGGATGCTACACTATATCCAAGTCGGCCTCAGTAAAAGAAATCATCGGTCCTTAGTATTCATATGTTCTAGGTTTCTTTTGTTGGACCTAATATACATGTTGCAAGTGTCTTACTCTCTAGGTCTCCCCTCGAACTTCATTCATATTGACCTTCGAGTGAATCACATTTATTACCCGAGGTCCCTCTGCTTGCTATGGTGGTGATGGTGGTGGTGGTCGTAGAGGTGGTGCTGCTAGTGCCTAGATTAGCCTCGCATGCTCTTCCCTTGTCTTCACTTCATCCACTAGGTCTCTCAGGTGACCCTATCTGACTAGATCTTCCAAGTGTGACTTCAGAGCCTGGCATTCTTGAGTCAGGTGCCCATTCTCATTATGGTAGGCACAATGTTTCCCAGTGTTCTTGCCCATGAACTTGCTAGGGATCTTCTCTGGCGCTCTGTAGTACGACTGATTCCTGATCCTCTCCAAGACTTTATAGATTGGGATCTGAAATACGGTACTGACTGCCTGCATAGCCCTTACTCCTGTTTCCTGCCTGTCAGCACCGACATTCCCTCGACCTCGCTTCGGCGAGTCGTTTCTCATTTCTTGTTTTGGAGTCCTTGCTCCTTGTGTGTCTTCCTTTGCTCTGGGATACTTCTCAATCCATGCCATGAGCTCTTCCATGCTCTGTGGCAAAGTTTTTGCAAGTGATTTCCGAAGCGAGCATTTATCATCCAGACTGTTTTTGAAAGACATGACCGCCAGCTCCTGGTTACAAGCCGGAATTCTGTTGTATACCTCATAGTATCTCTTGGCGTAAGCCCTGAGGCCTTTGCTATCGCTAATCTTCAAAGCCAATAGGGAATCTACCCTCAGTGGTTACGACTTGTTCGTAACAAACCTGGCCACAAACATTTCAACTAGGCCTTCCCAACTCTTCATAGTTTCTTTGGGCAACTTATGGAACTAATCCAATGTTATCTCCCCAAATGATGAGGGGAATACTTTGCATAGCAACTGCTCATTCCCGCTCCACAAAGCTATTGAATTTAAATAGAAACCAACATGAAAGTTTGGATCAAACTTACCGTCATAGATCTGAAACCTCATGTTGAATCTCTTTGGGGCCTCAAACGTATCTACCTCCACCGAGAATGGCGTCCTCAGCATGACGGTGATTGTGATCTTGGTGTTGAGTCTCTTTCTTTGCAGGTTATCTCTCAAATCCTCCTTTATCCTACTGGGAGCTCAGCTATCAGTAGATTTCAGGTTTTTTGCCCTGCGATTTCCAGTGTAATTGTGCGTTCTCTTGGACTTCCCTTCATCCACTGCATCAAAACAGAGTCCCTTACCTTGGATCTGTCGAGATTCTTTGACATAGGTCCCCTTGGTTCGTGGTGTCCTCTATGACTCACCTCGTATTGACTCTGTTTTCCTAACATCCCGTGATGGCCGATGTAAGTGCTCGTGTCCCTTGCCATGCTATGGGACCACTGGAACTGTCTTCTATCCTCCTTTTTGGGCATCATTTTTGACTGTTGGTGCCAGTGTGTCCTGTAACAGTAATGGTGGTTGCATTACGTTGTTTTGTATCATAAAGTTGACCACTGTCTGTAAGTCTTCCAATTTGTTTGCCATTCCTTTCATCTTCTCATTCCTCCTCAAGCGTCTATCCTTTTATACATCGAGGTCGCTTTCATTGTAATATTCATCTCGACCTCCCTTTATCAGGACATTACGCTTCTTGCCGGCGTTATTTTCCCCAAGATTTGGTTCTTCTACTCCTTCATTACGATTTTCTTCTCTGGGATTAGAATCCACATGCTCTTCTCCCTTACTATGGAAATCGTCCCCAATATTTTCTTCTTGCCCGTTGTTGGCCATCTATTCTCCTTAAGTTCCCACAGGCGATGTCAAATTATGGGTGCTAATTTCCGACCACACAACAAAAAAGAGAACTCAGCTGGAGATCATCGGCAGAATAGAATGAACTAACTACCTGCCAACAAGGAGATGAGAATTCTACGGTGATTCGTCCACCTAGCGGCACTCTGACAATCAAATCAGCAAAATTTATCCCTCACAGATATCAAAATAATACTTAAACTACCAAGAAAAAACTTACCTTAAACTCACGAGGGTGCCTCACTTTTATAACCAACAATGACCTAATCACCTAGAAGTCTTACTTCATTGGACTCAGGCTCAATGCTCATCATGGACTGTCGACTAGATAGAGATAAGCTTTTCATGAGCCTTATCATTACCCAGACTGTGATCTTCCCCTGTTCTAGGGCTATTATCCCTTATTCGGATACCTCAGGATTCCAGCATTACTGCAGAACATCTCAACAACGCCATGATCACTTCGGCAGCATGACTTATCCACGTGGCACCTTAGCCGACATTTCGGGCTATCTTGGCCACGTGGTGTTATTCACAAAATCCTTCCCCACATAACTTTTATATATTTTCTACGTGGGACAAAGTGTGTATTAGCGGAAAATGAGAACAAATTTTTTTCCTTACCGTCATTTCGTAAGAAATTGACACTGAATCAAAAATACAATAAGTTGACCGTTATAATTTCATGTATACTGACCAAAACGAAATTTGATGTAAAGCAGAGAGAAGCAAATTTATCCAATGTATACTGACCAAAACGAAATTTGATGTAAAGCAGAGAGAAGCAAATTTATCCAAATTTGTACTATATAATTTGAATTAACAATATCAACTACTACTAAGTAATAAAAATATTGTGGACATAAACTGCAGGAACCACCTCATTGTATGACATTAGCCTATTTTGAGAAGTGGATTAAAAATTACTTTGCAATTTTTAACCCACTTCATTCTCTCACAAAAAAACCAAAAAGAGTCAAAAAATAATTTTTAAGCATCTTTCTAAAACAAGCATATGGTGGTCCTATGTAGTGGCATTATTTAAATTTTTTAAAAAATAAAAAAAATATTTAAAATATTAAAAAAACATCAAAAAAATATATATATATATATATAGATAAAAAAAATTCATTTAAAAAAATAAAAATAAAATAAAATGATTAATTAATTCTTTTCGTTTTCGAATTTTAAGTTCTTTGAATGGATGCAAAGAAAGAACTCTCCAAAATATAGTTCTTGATTTAAATTTTTTTTTTTAAAAAAAAAAGAGAAAAAAAAAAAAGAAAAAAAGAAAAAGGAGCATGTTACATGACATGAATGACTAAAAGTTGAAATCATTAACCTGAATAACTAAAATTATTAGCATAAATGACTAAAAGTTGAAATCACTAACATGAATGATTAAAATTATTAACATAAATGACTAAAAGTTGAAGTCATTAACTTAAATGATTAAAAGTCGAAATCATTAACACGCTCAATCCATTTTAGTACGGCTCCGATTGTCCCAAGCAGGTGAAATCAATCAAAAAAAAGTTGAGCAGTTGCTTTCACTAATACTAACATACAAAGTAAAATAAAAAAAATTAGGGAGGCATTTCAGAGTTAGTGGGTGGTTGTGGGCTCATTGTAGAGCCCGCATTGATAATTAGGGCGGTCAATATGTAGAATTTGTTAAGTGTTTTATTTTTATAAAAAATTATATTAATTAGATAATAATTATCACTTGATTAGATTATATTTGTGTCAACGGTAAATATAATTTTAAAAATAAATTATTGACATAAACGTCATCTAATCAAGTGACTGTCAATACCAAATCAATGTAATTTTTAGTAAGAATAAAATACTCCACAAGCTCTACATATGTAACGGTTCAAATCATTGATACAACCTCCATGATGGGCCCACAAAGACCCAACAACACCCTCCAATAGAAAACCCAAGTCCAAAAATTATACACAAAAAATCATTTAAAATAATGTGATAATAATATTTACATAATTACTCCCTCCGCCCTATATTGATAGTCTTTTTAAAAAATTTAAAATTTTTAAAAAAACATAATCATTATATTTTGAATTCAAATTTTAAAAGATTAATTCCAAAAATACCATTCTATTCTTATTTTTAAATATTTTACTTTACAAGGGTTAATTTTGAATTCTTCTAAATTTAAAATTTGATTTTTTCAGGTGGACATGTATTTTGGTATAACAAAAACTGAAATAATGGCCAACAAAATGAGATGAAGGGAGTATAAATTATAGTTGTAGACTTTTCAATTTAAACATTTATTACACAAATGGGAAAATTATATTTTGTAGATTTTTTTTATAAAAAAAATTTATCATAAATTCAAGAAAAAAATTATAATTTTTTTAATATTTGTAAAATTTAGTACTAATTTAAAAAAAAAATTGTTAAATATATACTAAAATAAAATTATCCCAATAAAAATTCTGTTGATATAAAATTACTCGTACAATAGGTAAAAATTATTCTTGGATCACAGATTTTTAAAAAGCAAGAATTCTACCTCTGAAGAATGAAGGTGAGGTAAATAAAGTTAGAAAAATGCTATGGATATTAACATATTTATTAACAATCTTACTAACATATTTATAAGTTGATGTGGGTCTCGGATTCACGTCAACTTATAAGTGTGTTAGTAAAATTGTTAGTAAATGTATTAGTATCTCCACTACTGTTGATGAAGTAAAGTAAAACAGCAAATTATAATTTGTTTTTTTTATAATAAATAAATTTAAGAACACAAAATTAATCATAAAATTAAATACAAAATGCATATGGATAATAAGGTTTTTAAAAGTGAAATTCATAGATTAATAATTATGTAAAAAATTATCTATGCATATATATCCTATATTTAATTTGGGTATTCAATGAATGAAGTCAAGATATAAGGAGAGAGAACCACAAGGGCCGCTCTTGGCTTCATAGTCATTGATTATCCTGGCTAAAATTTGTAAGCTATGTGAAGAATTATAGCATGAGGAACACACCACATTTTTTTTTTTTTTTATGGATTTAATTTTTCTCATGTTTGCATTTTAATACAAAAAAATTTGAGGAGATTGGAGCTTACCACAAATTATGTTTTGAAGTAAATGTATTAGTATCCCTAACATTGTTGATCAAGTAAAGTAAAACAACAAACTACAAATTTTTTTTTTTTTTTATAATAAATAAATTTAAGAACACAAAATTAATCATAAAATTAAATACAAAATGCATATGGATAATAAGGTTTTTAAAAGTGAAATTCATAGATTAATAATTATGTAAAAAATTATCTATGCATATATATCCTATATTTAATTTGGGTATTCAATGAATGAAGTCAAGATATAAGGAGAGAGAACCACAAGGGCCGCTCTTGGCTTCATAGTCATTGATTATCCTGGCTAAAATTTGTAAGCTATGTGAAGAATTATAGCATGAGGAACACACCATATTTTTTTTTTTTATGGATTTAATTTTTCTCATGTTTGCATTTTAATATAAAAAAATTTGAGGAGTTTGGAGCTTACCACAAATTCTGTTTTGATGATTTAAATCATTTATTTTGTAAGACTCTCAATGTATATCATTCATAAAAAATTAGATCAAAATATTTTCAAGTTTTTGTTTTTGACTCTAAAAAAAATTAAAAGTTTATTTTAAAAATATATTTGCTATCTATTTTTTCAAAGAGAATTGTGGTAAAATGAAAAGCTTACAATTATTAGATCAAACTAGCTTTTTTTCATGGATGATATATATTGAGTCTTATAAAATGAAAAATATGAATTATTGAAACTGGACCTGTGGTAGGCCTCAAAGGTCCCTCAAGTTGTTTCATATTGAGATATGACTATGAGAAAAACTTAACCTTTTTTTCATATAACAAAAATGTTTTATGAATTTTTGTCACCGATTCATATTATCACTTAGAGCTTGTTTGAAGAATAACTATTTTAGTGATTTTTTAAAAAAATATACATAAAAGTAGAACGAATAATTGGACAACTTGTAATGACTTTTAGCTAAAATTTGCTTCCCAAATAATACCTACGTAGGATGTATGTGATTGGGTTATGTTTTTAAAATAATAATCTAAGACAAACACATACTCGATGATATATAACACTCGAACCCACAATCTTATGCAACAAGCGTGTCTAATGTATAATGTTTGAAACTCATATCTACCCGAAAGTTTAAGATAGTAAATGAAAAGCAAATCTAATATAAGCTTGATATAGGCAGCTGGAAACCTTCTTTCAGCCCTAATAGCAAGTATTCAAAAGTGTGGAATGGAACTATTGCAATTATAGAGCAAAGACCTAGATTGTATAATTTGTATTTGAATAACTTTCAACTTAGTGTTGGGGATGTGTAGACCGCCCGAACTCCGCTCCGCGCGCGAGGGCGCGAATTGTAGTTCGTAGTTACTACAGTTCGGACTCCTGTCACGGTTCTGAATCTAATCTCACAAAGTGCAATGTAAGACTGATAAATCACCAAAGAGTCTAAATCCAGCAATTAGTTTTGGAAGATCAATTTTGAATCAAAAAGCACCAAATATGGACTGCTTTGCCAGATTTCAGAGTCGCCACCTAAATATTTTGTTTTGGGAAATTTAGAAAACCTTGACTCGTGCCTAAGGCCACGTATCTGTCATCACCAAAGTTTTCTGCAAAGATCCCTTGTCTAATGGCATCCTCAATTTGAACCCCCATTTCATGAAGGTCTGGAAAGGTAAACAGAAGTAGAACGATCATCTTTTGCAGCAACTTGCCATGCAGATTCTGAACAATCATCCTGATCTGATCATTTTCAGAAAGCCTTGTAGTCACCATCGAGGCTTTTGCTCTCCATCTCGTCATGAACTCTGAGAAACCCTCCTTTGGCTCTTGGTGGGTGACTTTGAGATCACGAGTTGTGACCTCGATCTATGTGCTGTAGGAGTATTA